GTCCCCTTTTGTGACTTTGTGACGAGCAGTCAATGGTGCAGATAGATACCCTTAACCACCATGTCCTTAATTAACAACGGCAGTGATTCGCTTAACGGCGGTGGCAAGAAAAGCCGTAAAACGGGGCAAAGCTCACTTCACAACCGTCTCGCTTCGCGGCAGGAATTTGGGCCTCCGTTGCGGTCGTACGTCGAGGACTCCCTGCAGCTAGTTGAACCTTACGCTTGGGGAGTCTGTTTGTTTCAGGCCTTCTAACCTCGCCGCCTGTTTTGTTTTGCAACAGAAATGAACTGTGACGTGTGGAAAGCGGCCCCCGTGAGGTCTTCCAGCTGCTCCAGCAGCAACCACAGTGGCGATGGGAGCTGGGATCCCCCGAGTGACTTTTCCACCCCCTCCACCCCTTCACCGCCCCTGACCGCCGACATCACGACCAGCATCCTGTCCTCCCTGCAGTCCGACCTGGAGGAAACGGAAGCCACCCAGTTTCTCTTTGGGGAGCCAGTACCCAGGAAGAGGAAGGTGAGAAGGGTGTGTGTGTGATGACCCGGGGCGCGTGACACAAAAATAACACAGTCACCAAAATAGAATAAATTCGCTTTAATGCCTCCAACTTGGCCCCCAATGTCCAATTATACTCGACTGGATAACAGACTCTTCCCAAAACAGTCTACGAAGAGAGTAAATGCAGTCCAAACCCAAAGTAAAGATAATCAGAAATTAAAAAAAAATAATACAAACCACACTGAAGTAATTAACACGGCAGGCCAGGATGATAAATTGCAGACTTCCGCAAGATAACACCGCAACCACAGATGGGAGGACGCCAAAACCCAGATAAGCCGAAGATAATGCACGCTTTGCTTCCAGCAAAGAGTTGTGTAGAATGCCCCACTTATATCCTGTTCTCCCAGCTGCAACTAATGATCAGGGCCTTTTTCTCTCCCGTAAGTCATGTTGCTCCCTTCTCCGTTCCTCCCTGCGTGCCCTAGGACGAAGAGGGGATGGGCCTGGGTCTTCCTCTGAACTCCCTCTCCCTTGTTCTCCCTCTCCCCTGCTCTGCCCAGCCAGGCTTTGCCCTTCCCCAGTTTCCTCCACAGCCAACAGAGTCACACTCCCACTCCCTGTCAGCTGTCCGTCTTCCTCCTCGGATTCAGACTCCGACAGGGGCATACGACATCACTCCTTGATTCCATTATCTCTTGAGTTTCTCTCTAGTTTCTTGGGCTGCAGAAGAGATGGCGGGGAAAATTAAATAGTCCAGGGATCTGACCGATGTTAGAATTTGAATTTCCAGGAGGACCTTTGGAATCCTGAGACGGGGTGAGAGGTCCACCTTGGGCGGCACCAGACCTAAGCTGCATGTTCTCACGTTACAGAACTCCACGAAAGTGATGTTCAAGTGTTTGTGGAAGAACTGTGGGAAGGTCCTCAGCAGTTCCTCGGGGATGCAGAGGCACATCCGAGCCATTCACCTGGGGTAGGTCAGCCTCTTGGTCATTGGGAAGACGCGTCTGTGTGGTGGCAGGCATGAATAGGTTGACTTCTGAGAAGGGAGTTCCACAGGATCTACCAACTGGCTTCCCACCACTAAGATCTAAGGTGGTTTGTTTTCTTCTGCACCTGGCCGAGTCAGGTCATGGGTCTGTTTAATGCAGCCTCTGCAGGGTCTCGTGGCGGCTACCGGATGACCTTCAGAAGCTCACCAAGTTTGGGTTGGGGGGGAGTGGACAGAGCCCTTTCCCCACTATAGCTCTTAGCAGCAAAGACTAAAATAGATGGACTGTGATTCAGGGTTAGGAAAGCGCCCTTCAATAATCATAGCAAGGATAATCTGATCTTCATGGATTCCCCTTTTGAAGCCATCTAGGTAGGCTTCCATTAGAACCGTCGTCCACCAGATGCTGTTTCCTGGGGAGGGCTACGTATGTATAAAGGGGGTGCCATGGTTGAGGAAACTCCATTGTTTATAGCCACCTGCCTGTCTTCCTTTGAGGAGGACGTCTGAAGAAGGACCCACAAAGATTTCAAATGGTTGGGTGGGAAATTCGCCCAAGTGGGAGTTATGCATGGGCCAAAGACTACCAGCGATGATACTAGAAAGGAGGTTGAGATTACACCAGAAAAGAGAAGATTGATACCAGAAAGGAGAAGGTTGAGATGATACCAGAAAGGAGAAGGTTGAGGATACCAGAAAAAAGAAGATTGAGAGGATAGCACAAAGGAGAAAGTTGAGGTAACACCAGAAAGGAGAAGATGGTACCAGAAACGAGGTTGAGAGGATACCAGAAAGGAAAAGGTTGAGATGAGGTTGAGGATACCAGAAAAGAGAAGATTGATACCAGAAAGGAGAAGGTTGAGAGGATACCAGAAAGGAAAAGGTTG